AAATTTTTCTGCTAAGATAAAAATTACTTTTTAGTTCTTCTTCAGATTGTGTTAAATCATGTAAATTCATTTGTTTCTCCGAATCTTCTGGTTTTTTAGTTGTTGATAAATCCAAAGGCGATGTAGGTGAAATGTGAGCTGATTTAAATGGGAAAAATGAATTATATTTGATTAAATATAATATAACTTGTATAACTATATGTTATAAATTACCATCTAGTTTTTCTGAATCAAAAGATGATATATCGTGGAAATTGGAATTATTAGGACCTAATAGGTAAATAAATAAACATGTTAAATGTATACATTTTGCAATTTATCTTTAACATTAAATAAATTACCTCTATATATTACTAGATGAGTACTTATTTCAGAGCTATCTTGTTTATTTGCAGGAGTCGTATTCCAAATAAGAGTTTGAATTTTTTGTGTTGGGTTATACAATTCATCAATAAATGGATATTTACTCTTAAGAAATACTGTAGATAAATCTGAAAAATAAAGATTAAAATTTATGCAATAAAATACTATATTTATGTTAATATTAATTGTAAATATCATTACTGATTGATCTTTTAAAATATGGTCTCGAAGTAGAATGGCCATTGGAACTAAGATAAATAGGAGGTAAACCTTAAAGTAAAAAATGGAAAGTTGACAAATCATTAATTATAATATTGAATTTATAATATATTACTTTTTGCTCTACGAATATTTGATTTCCAGTTAAGTGATGAAATTGGAGTTTGATTATCAATTGTGCCTAAAAATAACAAATAAAAATAAAAATATAAAAATATTTATGTAATTTTAATTATATTACTTTTCTTTTTTTTAAAATATGATATGTTACTTTTAAATGAATGCAAAGAATCATTATCAGATGTGCCTAAAAGGTAAAAAAAAAAAAACATGAAAAATTGTAAAGAGCAATGTTAAAATTGAATTTATAATATATTACTTTCTATACTACAAAAACTTGATTCATCAGTTGTGTCTAAAAAGAACAAATAAAAAATTTAAATATAAAAAATATTTATGTT